GACCTACGCCGCCTCGGCTCCAGTTCTGGCCGCCCCCATCGCCAAGGTCGCCGCTCCGCTCGCCCCTCAGTTCGCCACCCACTTCGCACCGGCCCCAGCAGTCTACGCCGCAGCGCCCGCCGCTAAGCTCGCCGTCGCCCACGCCGCTCCGCTCGCCTCGTACGCCGTCGCACCCGCCGCCCACTACGCCGTCGCCCATGCGCCGGCGGTCGCCTACTCTGCCCACCCGGCGCCCATCGCGAAATTCGCAGCCGCCCCCGCACTCGCCTACGCCGCCCACCTCTAAGCAACGACTGCCGCGAATGATCATCGATGTCGACTCAGGCTGAACTTTTATTTATTTTTTTAGCTGACTACTTGTTTGTCGAGAATTAAAGCCGTTATCAATGTAACACTGATTACTGCTGTACACGTACCCGCACCGCCCTTCCTGAAACCTGCAACCGTTTCAGTTTACGTAACTATCGCGCCATTCGACATTCGTTTTTGTAAAGATGGCGAAAGCGTCTCGTTCGGTTTCGGAATTGAAGCGAAAGGAACGCGATTGCCGTGCCATTTTTCGGTTAAGATGAACCCAGGGGCGATAGTTGACAATAGCCTATTCGGTTCCACCTTTTTCTCGAAGATTCCTGTGCGTCCTATATCCCTAACAGTCTCTTCGTCCCTTGGTACCAGTGTCCTTCGACGATTGCGAGTTTGAAAGCTTAGAGAGAGCTGTTGGCCTTCCACTCTGCCGATTGTTATTACTAGTTGATCCAACTGGTAGACTACCGCCTGGCCCTGCTACCCTCCGGGTAGTAGTCCTCGACCCTGCCGAGTCACCGGTTGATCAAACTAGTAGACTACTTTTAGTCTCAGTCGAATTGTTGCAAAGCGTCATTGAAACTTCTGGAAGCTTAAGAAACAAAGTTTGGTCGTCAACGGTCGAACAGGGTAGCAAACAGCTCTCGCGATCCATTGCCGCCGCGCTGCTTTTGCTAGCCTGACCCGCTTTCTACTCTCTACTTTCATTCTATTTCCCAATTGTCAGCGAAATTGTCGAATTTTCGCGCGGCGTCCACTCTCGTCACGCAGTCCGTTGCGAAAGGTCGGTTCCGATGGAGATACGTGCAGGAAATGATAGTCGGTTCGACTCTGAACACGGATAAGCGAGAACGTGGCAGGATATACCATCTTCTTTCTCGTTTCAATCGACTTTGTCAGAAAAATCGTTAACGCGAGAAAGGAGGAAAGAATATTTAGAGAATCTATGCTTTTACAGGCCACGGTGTCTCGAAGAGTACCTTGGAGAAAAAATTCGAGACAACGAGAGGAAAATTGACGACTCGCGCGTATCACGAAATTGATCTCGATCGCGCGGGCTGAATTCATTACCAGGGGAGAAAGGCGTCCGAATTCCAGGCCGTCGATTTAAATGGTTGCATAATAAAAGTGAACCAGAACGGACCAAGTTTTTCGGCGTACACGCCGGACGAGACGCCGGCTACTGGTCCCGTTCGAGAAGGTTCATTCGGGAAAAAGACAATTCCGGAGGACGCGTTCGAACGTTGGAGATTTCAACGCTGCTCGTCGACGCTTAGAATTGAACCGTTTATTTTGTGAGTGCTTCGAATCCGCTTAGAGAAGATCAGAGAATTTAACGCGTTCGGTTAAACACGGTTTCACAGAGCAAACTACAGAAAATGGGAGAAAGTATTAACACTAGAACTACCGAGCATTTAATACGATTACTATGCAATTCCCATAAAAATTCTAACAATGGATTATTTTCAGTTTCTTCAGACATTCGTTATACTACTGTAATGAAGCTATTTATTTCCAAGGTCATTTGGAATATTCGATGCTTCGAAGATATCGATAATCGCTAAACAAGAAAATCAAACCAGTCATTTTGTCTGGTACATTATTGGCATTACGGTGGCACTATTTGTAACATAGAAATGTTTTCGAATAATTGTTTCATTGAGTTGAAGATTGAACTGTAGTAATTCAACGTGTCGAAGAGTGAGTTTACATAAAATTGTAACTATCGTAGTGAACTTGATTTCTTTGAAAAACGGACTCGAGCCACTGGCAAGATAAACGGCTCGTTTGATTACAGAATTCCCGAAGCGATTGTTATTCTCATCAACATTTTCATCCGTAGAGGAAAAGCAGACTCGAGCGGTCGTGCATAACACCTGCGACCGTCTTCCACCGGCTACGTGACTCGTTTGTCGAGCGACTCGTTGATTGCTCGCAATGGGACCACGGGATTTCACGTTTCGCTTTACAATACAAATCCGCGATGGAATCCGCCGAGGCACCTGAAAAATCCAGCGTACGTCCGACGTCGGTGTAGACTGGATCGATCATTTTGTAAGTGAAATATTGTTCGGCTATTTTCGCTTGTTTACGAGTGACATATATTATTTAGTTAAGCTATTATACGTGTAATCTTGAATAACGAACAACTTTCCTTTCACAGCGGGCCAAAACTGGAAGCCTAACGTTCTGCGTGGACCACAACAGAGGCAACAGTGAATCATTCTAATTTTGCTTGTCACCGCATTCAAGAATCTGGAGATTGTAATGCTTCATTGAGAACCATCGAGTCGAATAGACTATGTTTCCATAGAAACTTCAAGTTTGTCTGCTAAAACGTCGCTGTCTCTAGCAACTTCTCAAAGGAGCGTTCGTTATCTTTTCAATATTTATAAGAGGAACGAGTGATTTCGATAATCAACCAACCGATGGTTCCAGTATTAATCAGAGCCTGTATTTTTTAGATAGTCGGAGGGCTGCGGGTTTCTCGTCGAGCTAGAAGATCCAGGAGCGTCCAGTAACAACAGCGGATCAACGCTAGATTTACAAAACGAGTCAAGTTGACTCGTACCGAATTCTATAAACATTACTTGATAAATGTCAGGGTCAATTTTGATTGACACAGTCATGCGAATATGTGCTCCAATCGTTTACCGTGAAGCCTCTAATCTCCAAGTTCCAAATGAACGAACGTCCATTTTTCTAACGACGCAACTGTACACCGAATGTCCGTGAATCTAGCGTTAACCCTTTGCACTCGAGAGTTTCTCAATAGAAATATTCAACATTCTCCGACGAGATTATAGGTCATCGTTTGAAACTAATTTAACGATAATTCATAGATAAATTAAGCGACAAAGGTGTTTTATTTATATATTTCACGTAGCAGTGCAAAGTTTAATTTGAAATATTAACCCTTTGCACCGCAGAAGTTTTTCATTAGAGATACTCAACATTTTTCAATCGAATACCAACGACATTCTTTCAAATCGACTTAACGAGGAATCGCGCGTGAATTAAAGAAAGAGGCTGTTTTATTTTAACATTTTACATGTCGATGCATGGTACAAAGTTTAATACTAAATGTCAAACTTTGTAATTTTGCTGTGTCGAATCAATCGGCGACTGAGAGCTTACGGAGTGCAAAGGGTTAAACGTTCAACTTGATAGTTTTGTTGTACCGAATCACGCGGCGACTCTCGGTCGCCTCTCGAGTGCAAAGGGTTAATCGTGTCCCTTGGCCGATCCCGATGATATTTCAGCCGTGTTCTAATTGGGACCGTCGGCGAGGAAAAGATCGACGGTTTTGGCCAAGGCAATCCATCGTCCGTTCGGTTGAATTCTTCCCGTAACCGGTCTAGCAAAAAGTGAACCGGTTTCTCACGGCGGCTACAGCTGCGGCTACGTAATACGGGGCGCGATTACGATGGGACCACATCTTGACATTGGGCGCGGTGCTTTGGCGGCCGTGGCTCTCCGCAGCCCTGGCTCGTTCGGTGAAAGTTGCTCGGTACGGGCAGCTATGTAACCGAATACGCGAACTAACACTACCAGGCCCTTCCACGGTCGCCGAGCATTTATTCCTTGCTTATTCGGCCACCTGGGCACGTTCTTTGTTCTCTCTATCAACGCTAGAACTGCCTAACACGGTCCGTTTCACCGAATTTTTTCTGAAAACCTATGGAAAATCTGCCAAGATTTTCAGTGATGTTCGCATGGCGAACGAATTTCCTGGATAACTTTCTAAAATAGCGTTTATGTTACCCATTTAACACTAGATTTACAGACATTTATCGTACAGTTTATTCCATTCCCAGAAAGATCAACGCCCGTATAGATCTAGAATGTTTAACAATGTATTAGATGATCCGAAAGTATGGGGAAACGTTTCAATGTGAAATAGATTGAACGCTTAATAAGATGAGAAGGCGGTATAAATTCATTTGTACGTTCAATATGCAGAAGAAAGGACACACTCGCAGTCACCATTCAGACGCGTTAGCTTAAAAATACACTGTACCGTTTTTTTGCGCCCGAATGGAACATTAACGAGACGCTCTAAACCAGTCGACCAGCTTGCCTTGTTTTTCAGGAGGCGTGTCTTCGGTGACATTTCAGATACTCTCAAATGGATTATTCTGTTCCGTCTGGTGGTTCCAATGTCGAGCTATTTGGTTCAACTTTCATCGGCGCTGAACAAAAGCGAGCAGTGATTCGTTTATTTATTGTAATTATTCTATATATATATATTTATTTATTCGATATAAATTCTATTCTATTTTTAGTCTGTTCGTTCTCTTTCTAGGAGAAACTCGAGTGGAATGTTTCACCGATGATATCGAAGAGAAGGGAACCGCGAATTCTGACAAAAGGAAACACCATGAATCGCAGTCATGAGTGGAAAACGAAACCGGTCCGATAATAATGGTAAATACCACGTCCCTATAAATTAACGGATGACCCAGTCCTTGCTTGTCTTCTTGACTTTCATTCCCCTCCGTGCGTTTTCATTAAGGAGTGGTCGGCCGAAGTCGCCGGTGAGAGAATTTTTGAGTGACTGCTCCAGAAAACTCACTCGATTCGAAACGAGAACCCGTTACGCGGATCTTGCATAATATTATATAACGATCTTGATACGGGCCCGCGTATCTGCTCGTTTTAATTTTCTTATATAAACTAAATCTTCGTTGCTTAACGAAAAGCGGTAATAAAAAGTGCCACGGTCCTTTGAATTTTATATTCTTTGTATATTTTTATATTTATATTCACTTTATTCACTTTTATATTTATATTTATATTTATATTTATATTCACTTTATTCACTTTTATATTTATATTTATGTTTGCGTTTATATTCAAATTCTGATATCGAGAGAAAAGGCATACACTAACGTTTCTTTCTATTTAAAGAAAAGACACGGACCACTCATCCACTGCGCGGATAACCCACAGTGGGAAACGACTGCAGTAGTAGTGCTCGTCGAAATGTCAGACGGTGACGCTACAGTAGCTTCGTTACGACGTTAGGGAAGAGTTGACGGTTGCACGCAAAGTATTACTCAATGCGTCATTCGATTAAATCAAAATAATTGTTCAAAAACACTTCGATTATCTTCTGAACAGTCTATTCTGTGTTGCAGGCTTTCCTGGTGAATACACGTCCATTAATGATTCTTCAAGAAGTCGCGAGTGATAGTTTAAGATGTCATTAGAAAGAGGGAACTTCAACATTGTGATACATCCACCGAAGAAAACAATTCCTTAGTTTCTGCGGACGTTTGAATTGGAAAATCGTTTTCAAGGGAAGGTACCTTTACTTTCTCACTCGACGCATCGTATTCTTTTTAACAAAAGACACCGAGTATTATTAGTGAAGGCAAGTAAAGGCTTCACCCTTTCAAACGAGCCCAAGTTGGTTGCACCATGTTTCTCCAGAAAATTACAACAGCTCGATTAATCGGTACCTTTTCGTAGTACCAAAAGTATCATGCCTCGAGTAATGTTGTTTCGTTTATGCCAGTTTCCAGCATAAAGATTTGTACATTTACGTCTACTGGAATCATCAATGTATAGACCATCACGCATCGCTTGTTTCCCAAGATGTTCATTTCAATGTTCGAACGCCATCTCCGAGAAAGTTCCGCGGTAGCCCATCAAAGAGATCCATAAGAAACGACATTGCTCGCGGGTTGACCTAATAACTCGGTCGGAATACTTTTGGCGGACGGTGTGTACAAGCGGCGAGACGCGTACGCACGGTGTCGGGTCATGACACGGAGGTGCGCGCATGCATACGCACGGTCGTCGTTGCGTAAACACCGCGGAGGACGTATGGCGTCGTAACGGCAACTTGCGTAATAGCGGTCACCGACGATGAATCGGGCCCGAATCGTCACGGATGAACGTGACGGACGATCGATCTGTCCGCTCCTGTGACATTGATCGACGCGGTTCGCGGCGCTTTTACTTATTACGCCCACGCCGGTACGTAACCGTGCAATCGTGCGCCGCCGGTCACGGGGACCAAGGGGCCGCTGGCCCCCGGCTTATGCATAAACAATCGGATGCATGCAATTATGCGAAATGGAAAATTGCGAGAGTGATTTCGAGAAAGCGGAATTGATTAGAATCGAGTGTCTCGTCTAAAACTATTGTCTACGATCGGCGGCGATTCGTCGAAAGTTAATAACTCGCGAGAACTCGTTGAACATTTCAATCGACTTCTCTACAATTGTTTCTCCGAGACATTTCTCTGCTTCGCATTCCATGCATTCGTATCTCCGACGAGCGGCCCTCGCGACCTTTGCCCCCCGCTCTTCCACGTATTCGCGAGAGCATTCTCCCGCTAATCCAGCGATCGTTTAATCGATTCTAACATTATCCTTTCTTCTGGTCCGTGGAAGGCAGCACTCCAAGGCGGGACAGAAACGACCGAACGAAGATGCAAGAGCACCGAAGGTTTCTCGTGAAATCAGATTTATTAAAACGTTGGTAACATCGTTCGGGTGGGTGTAAACGATACAGCGGGAAATCACAGTGGACCCTCGATTACCCGACTCGATCGTCGAACGTAGGCTCTGCGAGAGGTCCCCCGGAGCCTGTGCGATCCGAGAATCCGAATGATTCGGGTTAGCGGGTAGCCAACACCGTAAACGAAATCTAGATCGGTTAATCGAGGCGTCACTGGCGCTCAAACGATCGCAGCGGCGGACGTGTAGGCGATGGGCGCCGCGTAGGCCAGCGGAGACGAGTAGGTCGAGTAGTAAGCGACCGGATAGTTGGGCAGCGCCTTAGCCTCGGCGATCAGCGGCTGAGACCTGACCGGTATCTGCAGCGGAGCGGCGACAGCCCTGACGGGCGCCTCCTGGGCCTGCTGGATCCTCTGCGGCTGCTCGGCGTCCTCCTTCTCGGGCCTCTGTCGCGGCTGCGGTTGGACGCGTTGCTGGAACTGCATTCTGGACCGTTCCTGTATCTGCTGCAGCTGCCTGAGCTGTTGCTGCTGTTGCTCGAGCTGCTGCCTCTCGAGCTCCTTCAGCTGCTGCAACTGCTGTTCCTGTTGCTGCTTCAGCTGCTGCTCCCGGCTGGGAGCAACGCGAAGAGGCCCGGACCTAGCCTCGACCACCTCGACGTCGGAATCGGGCCCGCTGGCTGGTATGCCCGGCGCTGGAGCCGCCGCGGGCACGACCGGAGACTCCGCCGCTGGCAAGATGGCGTATGGGACCAACGGAGCAGCCACCGCAGCCACCGGTTCGCGGCTCACCACCGCGTTGAACCCGTTCACCGGGTCCGCCGTGTACTCCACGATGCGCCGGGTGCCGTCCGCCTCGATCAGGCTGTAGCTACCCTGCACGATGTCGCCGTTCCTGGTCTCGTACTGGGCCTTCGAGTCTCCGGTGATCGCGTCCTGCACGTCGTACGCGAAACTGTACTGCGGCACCGCGTCCAGCTCCTCCAGTTTCGCGGGGACCGCCGCCACTACCGGTGCCGGCACCACCGCGCCCTTGGCGAACACCGCCATGCTCAAGAACAAGATCAGCTGGAAGTTCAGGTGGATCAGAGTAAGAGATGCGGACGCAATTGTCAGTGCTCACAGAGTGCACTGTTGTGGGCTCTGTCTAACCGAGAGTGTCTCGACAATCTAATCACACTACTTTTTCAGGGCTCGCTGGGACATTGAAGCGAGAAAACTGCGTCGAGATCTACTTTGGTTAGTTGAACTACTCAGCAGAGTTTGCTGAATTTTCTAGCTCTGAGTTATCGTTCTCGTTTATCGACGGAAGTCTTCAGGGGTCGCTGGGAAATTGAAGCAAGAAGAGAACTGCGTCGAGATCTACTTTGGTTAGTTGGACTACTCAACAGAGTTTGCTGAGTTTTCTAAGGCTCCTAGCTCTGAGTTATCGTTCTCGTTTATCGACGGAAGTCTTTTCAGGGGTCGCTGGGAAATTGAAGCAAGAAGAGAACTACGTCGAGATCTACTTTGGTTAGTTGGACTACTCAACAGAGTTTGCTGAGTTTCCGAAGCTTCTTAGCTCCGAGTTATTGGTCTCGGTTATCGACAGAAGCGTTCGGCGTTCGAGGACGAGACCCGACTCACTCACCTTTCCAGCCATGTTGATTTGCGAGAGGATCGTCAGAGGACTGATGCCTCGGGGTAAGATCGTCGGTACTTTTATACGGCTGATGGCTGGTTTCGTGTGATCCGTGAGCAATAACCGAGCTATTCCTTGCACCCAAACTCGTGTCCAGACACCCGTCCCCTCGCAATCGCCCCCACCTGGCCCCCCTTCTTTTGTTCTGGCCGGTGGATCCTCTTCGTTTCTTTGTCTGCTTCCCTTGGCATGGCCGTTTCTTTGTCTGGTTCTGTTGCCATCCGATGACCTCCTCATAAAAACGTTGCGACGGTACCACGCGACACGGCGACCGATGAGTATGCGCGCTTATGTTTCTTCATATCGTCCCGGCGCGCGCGCCGCGCGTATACACGCGACCTGTATGCCAATACCTCGAAGATACATAGGAGCCGGCTCGAGGTCGTACGACGAAACCCTCCCTCTCGGTGCTCGCTCGCCGGTTCTTGCCAAAACTCCGCGCGCCGTTGCGCTATGGCTATCGATTAACATTTCACTGCCGTGCGAACACTTGCGCTGCGCAAAGCTGAGACATCCGTTGATAGCGGGATTACCAGATGGGTCACGACCCATTCTCGATTTCTATAATTATCATTTGCTAGACGGTCCTCTCGTTCTGCCCTATTTCAACCCTTTGCACTGGGAAGCTTCTCATTAGAAATATTCAACGTTCTTTAACGCTAGAACCGATGACTTCTGATTCCACTTTTCCCAGTTATTCTAATAACAAATGCTTCTCTTTATCAAATAAACGTTCAGTCGATTAAATAAGCTGATTCACCGGTGGATGAACTGAACGTTATCAATGTTACAGGCTCGAGAACGCGACAGGACTCGAAGACTCGACGCCATTAACCCCTTGGCGTACTATTTACTTTCGTTACTGAGCTCGTGTAATATTTTACTATCGACAATTGTAAGAAATACAAGAAAATTTTCCATTCTACTTGAGGTGGAAATTTAATCTGAAGATAATACATTGATAATAGCAAAATAGTTGTTTGTTTTGATCCGTGGGTAATGAACAACATTGATTCTTGTTAAATTAGTTTATTATCTTCGTCGCGAGTCTCACTCGTCATTGTACGGCAAGGGGTTAAGGAACTGCACGTGGGATGCTCCATTTTTTATGGTTCCTCGGGTTGGTTCGTCGGAACTGGATCAAACTAAAGATTCCAGACGAACCCGTGACGCAACCCGCCGCGTTTCGATTTGGAAAAGCGCGCGGGGCGTGAGGAATATCTCGGTTTTGAAATTCGTCGCGTATCGACAGCATGAAAATATGGAGGTCGAGGAAAGAGAGGGAGGACACAATCAGTGGAGGTACACATAGAATCCATCGGCTTTCGTAATTTCGGCGAACAGCCTCGGACGGCACCGTTTGACGTATCGGCATACAAATTGTGCGGCCACTTACGATTCGCCTCCATTTGAATTTCAGAGGCCGCGTGAAACGCTCTTCGGCCGAATAAAATAGACACCGGCGAAATGACGAAACCGCTGGTTCCATTGGCGACGGGCTGCCCGTTCATATTCATCGGGAATGGTAATTACAATTGTACGATTTTTCTCGAATATTGATTCGTTGCTCGATCAACGATAGAATCGCCGAGCAAGCGGAAACACAGCCGTTCTTGGTTTCTTCGTTTACAATTATTGAAAGAATACGAGTGTTCTCTTAAATTTGAAAAAAAAACGAAATATTCTAAAGTCGAAACGAATCTCAATGTTCAGGAATGCAGTCTTGCGAGTTTTCTATAGAAATATGTACGGGGCAATCTGGTTGCTTGGTGATTCTAGCGTTAATTCATTTTAGACGTACCAACGATGCGTTAACTCTTTTCCAATTTGCTAACGCTGGATTAACGAATTCTAGAATAAATATTATACATTATAGATTGCGGGTTCTAAATAGAAAGGACAAAGCGATTAATACAATAAAATCTTCGATTTCTTTTGAATTTTATTTCGCGTAATAAAGGTCTAACGAATATTGCGCTATCGTGATTATTCGGATTTTATAGAGATTTCAGTGGATTCTTCTATTCTGTTCTGTTAATTACTAATCAAAACGTTGAGAATATAAACTGCGCGTCGAGCATTGATGCTGCAGCGTTCGTACAAGTAGTATTGCCATTTATATGTCAGACGCGTCAAGGTACGAATGCTGCGGGACGTACGTTAACGGTTCAACTAATGTTCTCCGATGAATAATTCCATTTTATATTGTAGAACGCGTGATTTCAATATTAGTAAGTTTTCCTTTGAAAATTAACGTTCGACATTGAAAATGAAAGAATCACGTTACGTTAGAAGGGAATACGTTACGTAGCTTTTATGTAGGTGAATGGACAGCTAATTTCTAATCCGTCTCGCTTTTCGTTCGCGCGTTCTATTGCGAAACGATTACGCTTTATTATGCGTGGCATGCGTTCGGCGGGTTGCATTAATTGAAACGAATTTGCGTTTACCGACGCGCCAGTTTATTTCTTTCATTTGTTGTATCGTGTATCATCGATAAATGTTGTGACATGCATCGTTGTAATTCGAACGTAACACAACACACAAACGAGGACTCGTTAAAGTGCAACACATAAGGATAACAGAAGACAAAACACAGCATGTTCGTTCATGTAAAAAAGATTTTAATATAAACATTCAATTGCGATATGTACAATGTGACCATGACTAGCACTACCAGCTAATAATTATTCCATAGAAATCTGTTACTCGCGACATCGAACCTACGCTAATGCGAAACAGTTGCGGGTCGAAAGGAAGCAAAGGGCAAGCACTGAAATAGTTAGAGAAACCTTCGAAAGTTCGCAAGTAATTTTCCAAAAGCTGTCTCGGCACTCCAACCAAGTGTACGCCTAGTTCTACGAGTGACCGCGTGCACGTAACTATCTTACATTCGTTCGATATCGCTGAATACAAGGACTTAACATACAAAGATGGCGAGAGCACGGTCGTCGCCAAAATACAGTTCGGTTATGAAATTGATCAGACATCGAAGGAAACATTGTCCAACTGACAGGGAATCGATTGGTACTTCTGTAGAGTTCAAGTTCCGCCAAAATACTATTAATAGTTCCAACGATTGATCTTTCATTTACTTTTTATCCGTTTGCTCCGCGCTCGACGTATTCCAGTCGTTGGTGTTGATGTTCTCGCACACCCCATGAGAGATTTGTCGGACTAAATTCTATAGTTAACCGGTTGAAAGTCCAACGTACAACCTCACTGTATCTTGGCAACGACTATACGGAAGTTGACGAAAAGAATGGCCGAAGTTGACGCCTGCCTATGTTTCTCAGGAGTGTCGACATCCCCTAAGAATGGAACGCCACTGGAGCGACCTTGACGACAGGCTTGAGGACGGCGACCGGTTCCCTGTGAACCACGGCATTGAACCCGTTCACGGGATCGGCAGTGTACTCGACGATCCTCCTGGTTCCGTCAGCTTCGATGAAGCTGTAACTGCCGCTGACGACGTCCCCGTCTCTGCTCTCGTGTTGGCTCTTCGAGTCCCCGGTTAAGCTGTCCTGTACGTCATAGGCGTAGCTGTACTGAGGATGGGGGTCGTAGTTCAGCCCTGCGTCCACCGCGGCTAGTTTAGCTATCGGCAGAGCTGGCACAGGAATCGCCGCACCGTTGCACGCGGCGAACAATGCGATTGCCATCACGACGATCACTTTCTAGAGAGCATTTGCACAGAATAATCCAGTGAGTATCGACAAGACGCATTCCCCTTGGACGAACGACGAACAAATAATCTTCTGTTAGAGAACCAAGGAGAATTCACGAGGAACGGTGGATCTATGATGGATCTATGGTGACGTATCTTCGGTAGGAATCACAGTTTTCTAGGATTTCTTGCTCAGAAAAGACGACCCCGACGAAAAGGAAATTATAAAGCGGCGAAAAATGCTACCACACTTCAGCTGGTGAAACGGTGAATTTTAGTTTACAAAAGAAACACAGTTCACTGTAAACATTGGAAGGAAATTGTACGGTATTTAATGTACACTTCAAAGAACGACAGTGTGGTAACATTTGTTCGCGACACCCTGTACCTTTCATCTGAACTTCTCTCACCTTGACAGCCATATCGATCAACTGTGCGGACTACCCGGTGTTTCAAAGCCAAGAATGGGACTGACTGTTCGATTTCGAATGACAAACGTATTTATAGGAGCCACCGGGTGATCATCCGTTGTACGTGAACCGATGCTCGCCGCAGCCCTCGATGCATCGCAAACAGCTTTTCGAAGGCGCGTACGTGACACGCTTCCGTTCTCCGTGGTAAAAGTTTCGCTCTCGTTTGGAACTCTCTAACAGGTAGGCTTATCAAGATGAACGAGTTAAGGCGTCGTTTGAATCTTAACTGATAATTGTCCGGAGCGAATTTATCTCGTGTCGCTGTATTGTTTTTCCTTGTAGAACCGCATCCCTCGAGAACCTGAATCACCGGGGCTCTGGTGTACCATTTGTAGTGACGCACACGTGACACCAACGGTGAACCATAAACACCGAGCTCTCTCCATTGAAGCGTCTCTAAAAGTATTCCATTCACCAGGATTTTGGTCCTTGCGAAATGTAAATTATCAAGGGAAACGTGATAAAATCGGTCAATAATTCTTCCAACTTACTGTTGTGCTTTCACCGTTGCGTAATTTGATGCGGCTTTAGTTCCAGCCTTAAGTGTAACGTTTCCGTCATGCGAACACGCCCCGCGTGGAATACTAATCGGGGACAATTCGAGACGCGCCGCTCTAGAATGTCTCTGCGTTTCGCTTTCAAATTCGAAATTCCGTGTCTGGTTTTCGATTCGATCAGAGCGCATCTTAATATGAATTATGCAACGTAGTGTTGTTCATAGGATCGCAGATCCAACGAGATTTCTGGGTTCCATTGAACATTAATCAAGCGTGCAGAAGTATTTCTGCAAGTTTGCGTTTATATAATAATACATGCCTGTTTAACATCGTTTATTTCCTATAATATTAACTGTATCAGTTTACGATAGATGTTCATGATAGATTTATGTACTATTTTTTAATGGCTAACAAGAGTAACGGGCGTACTCTTAAGAAAATAATTTTTATACATTATAAATATCTAACGGCATAATACTATTATGGCCATGTAATCTTCTGTCTTTTCTTCAATGGAGCTTCCTAAAATATATAGTCTATTTATATTTTAATGGCTAATACTTATGTATCCGAAGTCTATGCAATTTATACATTTTTTATACATATATTTTGTAAATGACACATGTACGTACATCATGCTTCTCTACATTAACACGTTTATTAACACCGTTACAGTCCTTCAGATTATTTGAATTATACAAACGTATCTTCTTAGGTATTTCTTTAATCTCGTTCACAGGAGACTTTGGTTTTGTTGAATATGGTAATGGAGAAGTTTTCATTTCTTTTGTATTTCTTTTCGTGTTACTTTCGCCATTTCTATAATATATAAATTCTGTAATATAATACATTTTTATACATAGTTACCACTTCTACTTACAATGAAGTTATATCTTTTTGACATTGATTCGACGAATGTTGTTTCTCTTGTTCATTATTGCTTTTAGTAGTTGAATTTTGAGAATTTTCTGTTCCTCTTTTAGGAAGGGGCATTGCCACCCGTTTGTATAATTCTATTAGCTGAGATCTGGATAAATGTTTGTAATTATTGAAGTCAATACAACACTGTAAACAAATAAAGAAGTATTGATTTGTCGCATACATGTAATGCTGATAGCAAACATGATAAATAGCAAGCCACACTTGTAAAATTGAATCTTTTAGTTAATTCGTGGTGTAATTTACAGAAAAATTAATTTAGATGCAATTAATAATGAAAGGAAGATTTCAGTAAACATAACCTTACGCGCTTACATTTTCTAAAATATCCCGAAGCTCGGGATCTGACAATACTTCGGGATGAGTTAAATGAAATGTTTCCAACGTCAACATTTTGTTAACTGTACGCCTTTTCAATAAAAACTATTGTATTATTCCAAACAATAGCCGTGATCGTGTTTACCAATCTCTAATGATTGGCTTCATCCATTTGAAAAATGACTTACTTCATATTCTTTCGTTTTAAATAATGAAACGCATTCACAGACTTCAGAATATTCTGAGCGTATGACCTAATTAAAAATTTCTTATTATATATACATCACTCATTCTAAAAGTTAATAAAAAAACTTTTATTGTTCCATTTCACTCAATAGTTCATTTTTGTAACCAGAATGGCGCGCAAAGTATTCTAATACTTTAAATGGCGTAGCTGAAAGCCTGTAGTACACTTTTATTTTGACTTAATGAATTAATCGTTATTTCAGCGGAATATAAAATAATAATAACTACGGTCACAAATATTATAAAAATCCTCGGATTTAATAAATAATGTTATTAATTAAAATACATAAATTTTCAGTTCATACTGCGTAAAATCCATCAGTTTGAATGGTAATTCTTCAGTTGGTAGAATGGAGTGGTGAATAATTTTGACAGTGCGTTGCAAGTTTCAGTAAATAGATAGTTGCTGTGCAGATTAATGAAACGTCGTGTTGAAAAATAAATGAGTTTGTTTATGTTTCAAAGCATGTGACAGGTTTTAATATTATTCTATAATACAGACAGGAGAAGTAACGATATGACACGTGGCTACGCCATTAATTGTTCGAATTTCTAATTACAAATATTGTATATAATTAAAATGGATGTATCAAGTGATTCAAGTTTATATAGGTTAGAAGGTACTGACAAAAATCAGTCTGGAGGTTTGATTATCCGTAAGAAACCCTCTGATCACACATTCAAAAAGCCTCAGATGTCCATGTTGGGGCTTGATAAGCTAGCAAAACGAAAGAGACAAGAAAATGCACAAGAGCCAAACTCGTCAAGATCAATTTCACCAGAGTCTGAGATTAAGGAGAGAAAATATAGATCGTACGCCGAAGAAACACCAACTCATACTGGTGGAGTAAATTCTGAAGCCCAAAGAAGACTAGAATCACGATTGAAACATCAGAGATTAAGCGCGCAAGACAAACATCACAGGCATAGTCGTAGGGATCATAGCAGAGACAGTGATTCTAGAAGAAGGGACAGAAGTAAAGACAGGGATAGAGAAAGAGAAAGGAGTAGAAGCAGAGGTAGTGTTAGACAAACTCCCTTGAGATTCAAAGATGAACCACAAACACCAGTGTTTAAAACAAAGGTAAATCTAAAAGTGTGCATAAATGTACGATCAATAACTTGCAATTACATTATATTTTCCAACTGTTATAGGATCCTACGTCCAGAAGTAATTGGGATGATGATGAAGATGAAGAACCAAGGAAGTCGAGTTGGGATCATCCAACGCCAAATCTTTATAACAGCAGAGATGGCCGTGAAAGTACCAGGAGTGAATTCACTCCTTCATATAAATATAATTCCTGGAATAAAGATAAGGGCAGTGGCGCTACACCCATGGTTGATGGAGAAGAAAAAGAATTGTGGGAAGAAGAGCAACAAAGGTACTTCTTGTTGAAGTACTTGAAACAAATCTTTCTATATATACTGCATCGATTACAAACTAAATATTTGTTCTTAGATTGGATAGGGAATGGTACGCCTTAGACGACGGGGAAAATCATGCGTTTGCCGATGTTTCCGAGGAATATACGCGGAAGAAAGAGATGGAGCTTGAAGCGAAAAGGCAGAAACGTCTCTCTGCGCAACAGAGACAAATAAATAAGGACAACGAATTATGGGAACGTAACAGAATGTTAACATCCGGTGTTGTAAGTTCATTGGATCATGACGATGATCCGGATGATGAAGGGGAAACTAGAGTGCATCTTTTAGTTCATAATGTCGTTCCACCGTTTCTGGATGGTAAAAAATATATTTGAAAAATCGAATTATCGATATCTATAAGCTATAACACAATAGAAAAATAATATGAAACTGTCTAGGTCGAATCGTGTTCACCAAACAGCCAGAGCCTGTAGTACCTGTTCGTGATCCTACGTCTGACATGGCCCTCGTCGCGAGAAAGGGTTCAGCTTTAGTTCGAGCATATCGTGAACAGAAAGAACGACGTAGAGCTCAGAAGAAGCATTGGGAATTAGCTGGAACTCATATTGGCAATATTATGGGCGTTCGCGACAGAAATAAGGAAGATAAGGAAGATCCAGGACAAGAACACGATTTCAAGGCTGGCCAGAAATACGCTCGTCACATAGGAGCCGACGAAGTCACCGGAGAAGCTAAATACAGATCCATTCAATATCAAAGGAGGAGTCTACCTGTATTCGCTGTACGTCAGGAACTGTTAAACGTTATTAGGGAGAACAGCGTGGTAGTTATAATCGGAGAAACCGGTAGTGGAAAAACTACGCAATTAACGCAGTACCTCCACGAGGACGGTTATAGTCGCAACGGAATAATTGGGTGTACTCAACCTAGAAGAGTAGCAGCTATGTCTGTAGCCAAGAGAGTCTCCGATGAAATGGCTACTACGTTAGGGGACAAAGTTGGTTACGCCATTCGTTTCGAGGACTGTACTTCAAAAGATGTGCGTGCTAGTTTTCACTGAAGTACTACTCCTAAGCTGTCATCAATAGAAGTTTCTCAAATTCATGTTTTCCTTTTCAGACTGTTATCAAGTATATGACCGATGGTATTTTATTAAGAGAGAGTTTAAGGGAAGGAGACTTGGACCGATACAGCGTCATCATTATGGACGAAGCTCACGAGAGATCCTTATCCACTGACGTGTTATTCGGCTTGCTCAGAGAAGTAAGCGCTTTTAACGTTCCACCACATCCAATACTTCGGTAACACTGATTTATTCGCATTTGAAAATATATATTACAGGTCGTTGCCAGGCGACACGACTTAAAGTTAATCGTGACATCCGCCACAATGGACTCCAGCAAATTCTCAGCGTTCTTCGGGAACGCTGCGACATTTCAAATCCCAGGTCGCACGTTCCCCGTTGAGATACTGCACGCTAAGAATTCAGTGGACGACTACGTGGACGCCGCTGTGAAGCAGGTGATGCAGATACACTTGCAGCCACGGTCCGGCGACATATTGGTATTTATGCCTGGCCAAGAGGACATCGAAGTCACCTGTGAGGCACTGAAGGAGCGGCTGGCAGAAATCGAGTCAGCTCCGTTACTCTCGATCCTGCCGATCTATTCGCAGTTGCCCTCGGACTTGCAAGCTAAAATCTTCCAGCGTTCAGAGGGTGGTCTACGGAAATGCGTGGTAGCTACGAATATAGCGGAAACTTCGCTAACCGTGGACGGTATCGTCTTCGTCGTCGACTCCGGATACTGCAAATTGAAGGTTTACAATCCAAGGATCGGTATGGACGCTTTGCAGGTGTACCCTGTGTCCAGAGCCAACGCTGATCAAAGAGCGGGAAGAGCCGGGCGTACCGGTCCCGGCACGTGCTACAGATTATACACGCGTAGACAATACATGGACGAATTGCTTTTAACCGGAGTCCCAGAAATACAACGGACCAACCTCGCGAACACAGTATTACTGTTAAAATCGTTAGGCGTGCAGGACTTGTTAGCGTTCCATTTCATGGATCCTCCGCCTCAGGACAACATCTTGAATTCTTTGTATCAATTGTGGATACTGGGTGCGCTTGACCATACAGGCCGTCTAACCCCTCTGGGACGTCAAATGGCGGAGTTTCCCTTGGATCCTCCTCAGTGTCAGATGCTGATAGTTGCCTCTCAGCTTGGTTGCACCGCTGATATACTTATTATAGGTACAGCCAGAAAGTGTATATTAATGTTTTATGAGAATGCAGCTCCGGTAACGGTTCGTCGAGTTAAAATGACGTTTTTCTCTTTCCAGTTTCAATGTTATCGGTGCCGTCTATATTTTACCGGCCAAAGGGGCGCGAGGAGGATTCCGATTCGGCGAGAGAGAAGTTCCAAGTGCCGGAATCCGATCACTTGACGTATTTAAACGTGTACAATCAATGGAAAGCGAACGGTTACTCCAGTTCATGGTGCAACGACCATTTCATTCATGCTAAGGCTATGCGCAAAGTGAGAGAAGTGCGGCAGCAGCTCGAAGAGATTTTGAAGCAACAGAAGATGGAGGTCGTGAGCTGCGGCACTGACTGGGACATCGTCAGGAAGTGCATCTGTTCCGCGTACTTCCACCAAGCGGCACGGCTGAAGGGTATCGGCGAATATGTTAATTGCCGTACCGGGATGCCTTGTCATCTTCATCCTACCTCCGCTTTGTTCGGAATGGGATTCACACCGGACTACGTGGTGTACCATGAACTCGTTATGACGGCTAAAGAGTACATGCAGTGCGTCACCGCTGTCGATGGACACTGGCTGGCAGAATTGGGCCCTATGTTCTTCAGCGTAAAGGAAACCGGAAGAAGCGGACGGGCAAAGAGGCGTAAAGCGATGCAACATTTGCACGAAATGGAAGGGCAAATGAAGGAGGCGGAAGAAGAGATGAAAGCTAGAGCTCAGGAACAGCTTGAACGAGAGCAGGCTTCCATTAGGAAGTAAGTTATAAATTTGATATTTCTCAACAGGAAAGGAGCTAAATAGAATTTAGTTTACTTTTCAGACAGTGATATACACATTTGTTACTCTATGAATTATTTTGATTTTATAGGAAAGAAATATTGACTCCTGGAATCAGAGAGCCGGGAACTCCGGCTCCTTACCGTAAAACTCCAGGCAGATTAGGATTATAATTTACCATGTTGGAGCGTGTAAATATTGGAAACAAGATATTGTACAAATTTATAACGTTCTTCGGAAGGAAGTATGCGAATCATCGCGTATAGACTTACTATTATTTTATTACTGTCTCTGTATATATATCGTTTAGAGAAAAATATAAAAAAAATATTGTTTTTATATCGGTATTTATTATCAATACAGATATATCCTCCCTTTTTTACAAATCACGTATAGATATATTTATATTATTCCAATCTTATTAGCAACGTCAAGCGCATCGTAATCGCGCGTCAATCGCACGTACGCTTTCTTTTTGCCGTCAGGCCTGATCAAAGTATTCACTTTAGCCACGTCAACGTCGTACAGTTTCTTTATGGATGCTTTAATATGGTATTTGTTGGCGCGTGTGTGCGCAATAAACACTAACGTGTTATTGTCTTCGATCTTCTTCATAGCAGCCTCAGTGGTTAATGGAAATTTAATAATATTAAATGCATCCATACTAAAGGGAAAGAATATTTATAAGATCATTCTTATTAAATAATTCTATACGTTAAACTTATGTCTATTAATCTTAGGTATGGTAACTCGAAACTTACATTCTACGGTGTAATTATATTTGCACCTTATAATATAGATTTATTAGAACTCACCGATTCCTGTTCGGCACTGATTTCCTGGCATACTTTGGATTCCTTGCTGGCCTGAATGTTTTTGGCCGATGGAAATGTACAGACGTCCTTATTTTCCTTACTCTCGATCCATGAACACCCTTCAATATCTGTAAAAGATAAATATGTTACATAAAATACGCACTTAGTTAAAAGAATATTAATTATCACAATTTTTTCGAATCAGAATTATATAAATGATGTTATCATAAACATTCAAAGAGATTCCCTAGTATATTTCATCATGTAGATGTATTTCTTATACAGTAGTACCTCAGTTTTCGCGGTTCATAAGTCAAGGTACCGCACTGTAAATATATTTCTTTTTTAATATTGCTCTAACCTTTTTCTGAGCTTTGAGGGCCTTCTGGAGAGGTGCAGCTGCTTTTCCACCTTTAAGTGTTTTCTTCGTAGTTTGCACATTTTTCTTAGGTTTGCTGACCAATGGTTTAGCAGCAACTTTAGGTGCAGGCTTTGCAGCTGGTTTCGCTGCAGGCTTTGCTGCAGTCGTAGATTTAGCAGCAGCTGGTTTTTTCGCTGCTGGCTTAGCAGCAGGTTTCGTCACTTTTGATGTAGAAGAAGCTGCTGCGGTTGGCTTCTTCTCAGCTTTCTTTTCTGTTTTTTTCTCAGCCGGCTTGCTAGCTATGAAAACAAGTGCAACGAATTCAATTAGAAAATCATGATTCATAAATCATTTATTTAAGGCTATGCTATCGAAGACTTACATTCTAATCAATAGGGTTGTGTATTCTTTAGGTTATTATAACCATATACAATCACAAAATATTATAATTTCATAGCGTAAAACTTTTAACTTATAACAATATTTAAATGTGTAGAACGACTTTTTTAAAGATATTTAAAAATATAATAATTGAAATAAAATGACTATAGAAATGTTAAATTGAAGTTTCGGAACATAGGTGTAGTATCAACCACATGGCTAGGACTGTAAGTTGACATGAACTTTTCGAGCTTTTACATTAGTTGTTTTATAAATATTGTTCTTGATTATGTATTATTGATTTTTATAGTACTTTTATAATATTTTACAGGAAATTCCAGTTCTATTTACAGTTTAATAACATACCTGCCTTATCCGTGGGTTTGGGTTTAGGAGCCATCTTGCTAAAAAGAACGACAACACGCGCCGGAAGTGGACATATGGAAAAGCGATACAATACGTGAATCGTTGACGTCCAAATTCAATATTTTAAAATAATGAAACAAAATTTATTAAAATTTCGTCCGTTTTTTTTAAATTTAAACTTATTTTAACCGTATAGTACAAAAATCCTCAAATTTAAAATAATTTCTAGATATCCTTATAGTTGTAAAATTTGACTTATTTATTTAAAATATTAATTACAGTAAACGTTCAAGTGCACGTGCACACTACTTTTACATTTATCAATTTTATGTACTTTAAGTAATAAAACTCATTAGAATTGTTTTACAAACTATGAGATTAATTTTATACAGGAAATACGGTTTAACATTTAATTTCATTAAATATTGTATGATATATCCTATTAAGACGTATAGGGAACATATGGGGGTGTGCACCTGCCACAGCAACCAATGTTTTTATTTAGTTCAAAACTATTTCCGGCGACAATGGGGGTGCAACTTATAACACATTATTTCTCTTTGAAGCTTTGTAAGCTGTGTCTATATCTAAGGTAAGGAATATTTGAATATAATAATTTGACAACATTTATCGATAATAAAATTAACAAATATTTTTACAATACTTCTCTACAATTATCTTTAAAACAAATAAATTAATATTATTGAATAAACTTTATAATTATTTTGTTATAAATTACGTTTAGCACAAATAATGCTGGAAACACGTTCGGCTGTTTATAAAATGCTAGAAATTGCGCGGTACGAGAGACAGGTATGATTCAAAAATTTTCGAATTTATAATCGTTATATTGCAAATGTTAATATTAAGAAATTAAATCGATACAACGATCATTTAATAAAAAATTCATTGTATCAAATAAAAATGTTTATAATATCGAAAATATCTATAATTTCGGAACATTTTTATATTAACGAATGTTTAAATTTACTTAGATCGATAACTGGCCGCCACCATTTTCATCCGACATCACGCCATATAATGAAAGAAACTTTAACACGCTTGTTAGGCGATCATGCACGACGAAAAATTTTTCTTTGGGAATTTCCAAAGCAATAATTATTGGAGACGTTTCGGTCGGGAAATCATGTTTGGTGACTAGGTAATTACGGTCGTCATTCTTGCCACGACAAAAAAGTTATAACGTTAAATATAAATTTAATGCAATTCGTATTATAGATTTTGTCATAAAACATTTGACGTTAACTACAAAGCAACAATCGGCGTAGATTTTGAAGTGGAAAGATTTGACATTCTTGGCATACCCTTCCACTTGCAAATGTAAGTTTCCAACCAGTATATATAACATTCATTTTTGTTGTCTTTATTTTTATTTTAGATGGGATACAGCTGGTCAAGAAAGGTTTAAATCCATTGCAGCTTCTTATTATAGAGGTGCGAATGGTATGAAAAATTATTCTTATTATTGCATTTCTATTTATTTAGCATTTAACATAGAAGTACAATAACGTAGGGATTGTATACAAATAATTTCTAGTGATCATTGTTGTATTCGATTTGAGCAATTTGCTATCTTTGGGACACTGCGAACAATGGTTTCTCGAAGCTGCTAGAAGTAATACAGAACCATACCATGTATTCTTAGTAGGCACAAAACAAGATTTACTGGTAAATCACACAATGTACTTGTGCACTTAACGTATTCACCACAAAAAGTTGAATTAAATTAGTTGTTGTATAGTAGTAAAATATCATTAATCATTATACATCTAGCAATATCATTTTCAGTCAAATCAAGTATACAGAATAATAGAGAAACGAGCCACCGAAGTAGCACGAAAACTAAAAGCTGAATTTTGGGCTGTATCTTCCAGAACAGGAGATGGAGTATCAGAATTGTTCACAAGAGTAGCTGTATTATCTTTTCATTCGACAGTTCTAAATGCGCTGCAGAATGTAAACCAAAAGATCAACATCGGTTCAGATTTAATAAGTATGTAAAATTGCAGAGCAACGAATACTATTCATCTGAAATTACATACATAAACTTTTTACTTTGAAAACTGCCACATATATTTCTTTCAGTGGTTAATGCTCAAACAGAAAAACTTAAAAGGGAGAAGAAGAAGAAGAATAAATGCTTTGACTGTTCCAGCCCTTTGATAGAATATTAACCAAAAATGAAAATACATAAAGGAAATTAGCAATTTAGATTTAAGTAAGTAACACTACAATCAGAAAAAATACGATTTTCTAATTGTATACCTTTATTCCATTAATCTGTGACAAATATAATCAAATCAGTCAAATAAAATGTAATCGTTTTTAGCTTTAACACGGCATAGAAAACATTTGCCTATTTTTTGAGAAATCAAACATACGCTTCAGGCTTAGGTTCGGTAGGGCCAGATGGCACTTTGGGATCGTGAAGGCTTTTAAATAAACCGCGCACGAAGGAATCTTCCGGCTACGTATTGCGATCGGATTCATCCGATGATCTTGCTTTGTTCATCGTATTTGTCTGTCCTCCTTTGGCTCGACTTAACTCGTGTATTTCGTGTAACCGGAAAAAATACGTTCTGCTCGCAGATTCGACAGATCAATTGACGACACACGACACGGTCAGTCGGGCTAAACCGTTTAACGTGTTGCACACCGACGGGGTTGACACACATATACGCTGTTACAGCTACCGATCTACTGCATGGTGAAAATCTCCGGTGTGTCTAGATCATTTAGTTGCCAGTGAACACTAATTGAAAATACAGAAAGTGCGGTCACGTGGCTAACGCTTTATACCCGACTTTCTGTGGAGATCAGTTCCTCCGGAGAATCTGCGAGAGATCATTCAAATTTCATTCGACGAAAAAACGCTTCCTCAGGTAAATGCGAAGGTACATCTCAATGGGTGGTAGTTTCAATAGTGGTGGTAGTAGTAAAAGCAAGCAGTTGCGTGTGAGACCTTGTTCAGCAAATGAAGGTACTGGAGGATGTAAAAGAGACAAATTTAATAGCCTTACGTAAAGTATAAAAAAGATACTTTTTTGCGTATAGAATATGCAGGGTGTCACAAAAAAAAGGTTACCACACTTTATTGGCTGGTAAAACACAGAATTTTATTTTTTTTTTATGCTCAATCAAAGTGTGGTAACACTTTTTTTGCGACAACCTGTATATGAATGTTCTATGTGGATTATTCATTAAAACAAATCTTATTATATATTGTCTTGATGTACATTTTGTCAACAATTTTTGCTAATTGCACGAAGAATGTTAAATTTAAAAGGCAATTGTTTATTGTCACCACTATCACCACTACTGATGTATTCATGCCTGAATGCTTCTTTAACTTTTCTTGAAACAGGTAAAGGGAACCTGATCTATTTTCTTTATATTCTACATTTATTTTGCTTTCACATTTTATTCGGTATTTGTATGAATATGCTACGTAGAGTTTCTTTTTATTAGAGCAATAAGCAGAGTCAATATTTTACAATTAAAGAAGGAAAACTATACATAGTTTCTACTGCATTATGCATAGTTAATGTATAGTATTTATGTAATTTGTATTTTTTTAATAGGTACTAGTCACTACTTGTTATGTATGTATGTAAATAATTTGGAATACCATTGACTATTTCTGATAAATATAATTTTATCTTGACATTGCTTATGTTAAAAATAATTAT